TACGTGTAAAAATGTGGTCTCACGGGTCTCACGAAAACAGGCTGGTCTCACGTGAACCCAACCCTATATATATATATATATATATATATATATATATTAATGTAAAATTGTTGTAATTGTTGGTTGCTATGATAATAAAGTGTGTGTTTTATATATACATATCTATCACAACCATCCTCTATATATATGCGTATGCGCAGATTTTTTTTTCGCAATATTAACCTTATTGATCATCCTTGTTGATCATAGTGGTATCAGAGCCAATTTTCAACATCCTTATTGATTATCCTTAAATTCTTCTTTGTTTATGTTACGATCCAACATAGTGGTATCAAAATCACGTTTCGTTGACGGAAATCTTACGTAGAAATCAACAGAAAAAAACCATACATGGCTTCTCAAAACAATGATCTATTACAGACACAGTTACCCAAGTTGAATGGCAGGAATTATTTTCATTGGAGTATTCAGATCGATGCAGGGTTTATTCAAATCACAAGACTTGTAGGAAAGCATAGAAAAGGAAGTGACGGAACCGGAAAACCCCATGGCCTTAAGCACAGCGAACGAATTTGCTAAGGGACACAAAGAAAAAAACAAAAGGGCGTTGCACTTAATCTATCGAGCCGTAGACAAAAATATCTTTGACATAATCTCCTCATCTAAAACATCGAAGGAAGCCTGGGAAATCTTGTTAAAATCATACAGAGGGGAAGAAAGAGTAAAGATTGTGAGATTACAGACATTAAGGTGTGAATTCGACAATCTAAAGATGAAAGAAACGAAATCAATTGAGGAGTATTACAACCAAGTTATCATTCTGTTGATAGGAGAGATGAAAACAGTTCGATACATCTCCTATCAATCAAGCATTTCAGGCACAAGTTTCGATCGAGAAAGACAAATCAAAGAATTATGAGAGAAGAAAACACTACAAAAATGTTGGGTATCAGCGAGGGAATTTTCCCTCGCTGATCCGTCGCTGAAAGTGCTTTCCGTCGCTGATCCGTCGCTGATACTCCGTCGGTCAAAATGTCGTAGGTAATGCTATCAACGACGGATCAGCGACGGATTTGCGACGGACACTTTCAGCGACGGAT